CGCCATGTCGTGGATGAGGATGCTGGCCTATCTTTCCCCCCCCGCCGTGGTTCAGGGATGAGGATGCTGGCTATCTCTCCCCCCCGCCGTGTCAGGGATGAGGATGCTGCTATCTCCCCTCCCCGCCGTTGTCAGGGATGAAGGATGCTGGCTATCGTCCCCCCCGCCGTGTCAGGGATAGAGGATGCTCCTATCTCGCCCCCGGCCGGCCGTGTCAGGGATGAGGGATGCTGCATCTCCCCCCCCCCGCGGCCGTGTCAGGGGATGAGGGATTGGCTGCTATCTCCCCCCCCGCCCGCCGTGTCAGGGATGAGGGATGAACAACTGCTATCTCCCCACCGCCCGCATCCGCCCCGCCCGTGTCAGGGATGAGGGATGCTGCTATCCCCCCCCCGCCGCCGTGTCAGGGATGAGGATGCTGGCTATCCCCCCGCCGTGTCAGGGATGAGGGATGCTGCTATCTCTCCCCGCCGGCCGTGTCAGGGATAAGGGATCGGCTGCTATCTCACCCCCACGCCGTGTCAGGGATTGAAGGGATCTGCTATCTCCGGCCCCCCACGCCGCGTCAGGGATGAGGATGCTGCTATCTCGCCCCCCCCACGCCGTGTCAGGGCATGAGGGATGCTGCTATCCCCCCCCCCGCTGAGTCAGGGATGAGGGATGCGGCTATCTCCCCCCACCGCCGTGCTCAGGGATGAGGGGTGCTGCTATCCCCCCCGTCCGTGTCAGGGATGAGGGATGCTGCTATATCCCCCCCTCCCGCCGCCGTGTCAGGATGAGGGATGCTGCTATCTCCCCCACCCGCGCCGTGTCAGGATGAGGATGCTTGCATCCGGCTCCTTCCCCCGCCGTGTCAAGGGATGAAGGATGCTTGCTATCCCCCCCGCCCGCCGTGTCAGGATGAGGATGCTACCTATCTGATGATGGAACAATTAAGAAGATGTAAATGCTCCTACAGCAGCAGTTGCTCCTCGGCTGTACAAAGCGGCTGTAGTGAATTATCTAATAAAATAGCATTATATACCTACAAGCTTGGTTGCAACATTACAAGGAGGTGCTCTTAATTACTCTCATTCGATGCAAACTCATTCTAATGTTAAAATGTAAAGAACTATATTAGAATATAAATTTCCTTTATAATTCGTCTTCGAACGCCTTTCACGGGCATGTATTCACGCATTATGCGATAACGCTAATATCGAACATTGGTATTTATTTAATATTATTCGTATACGTGGCACGCTTTCTAATTTACCCCTATGATTCTGACGCGCTCCTGATCGCGCTCCCACCTCCCCCTCTCTCTCCACCTCCTCGCGCTCTCCGCTCCCCTGCCTGCTCCCTCTCCAGCTCCTCCTGCTCCCCATCTCCCTCCCTCCTGCTCCCGCTCTCCCCTTCACCTTCTTCCCCGCCTCTCTCCTCTCACCACCCACACCGTCGCTCCTCCTCGCTTTCCGGCAGCCTACCTTTTGCCCGCCTTCCGCCCACCGTCCTCCCCCTCTCACCGCATACCTCCGTCCCCTCTCTCTCGATCCACCTCCATCCCGCCTCAGTCGCCTCCCCCTCGCCCCTCCCGTCTCTCCTCTCTCCTCTCCTCTTTTCCTTCCTCTCTCCACCCACGAGGAGCTAGACACCTCCTCCCCTCGCTACCTCCTCTCGTCNCTCTCTATGATGAACATAAGAAGATGATGCTCCTACAGCAGCAGTTGCTCATGCTGTACAAAGCGCTGAGTGAATTATCTATAAACATACATTATATATCCTACAGCTTTGTTCAACATTACAAGGAGTTCTCTTAATTACTCTTCATTCGATGCCACTCCATTCTATGTTAAAATGAAAGAACTATAAATTAGAATATAGAATTCTCATTTATAATTCGTCTCGAACGCCTTTCACGTCGTATTCCGACGCATATGCGATACTGCTAATATCTAACATTGGTATTTTATTTGAATATTATTCGTATACGTGCAGCTTTTCTCTTTTGCCCTATGATCTTGACGCGCTCCTCCTTCCCACCTCCCCCTCTCTCTCCCACCTCCTCCCCTCTCCCTCCCTCCTCCTCCCCTTCTCCCTCCCTTCTTCTCCCCTTCTCTCTCTCCCACCCACCACCTCCTCCTCCTTCTTTCCCGCCTACCTTCTCCCCCTCTCCCGTCCACCTCCTCCCCCTCTCCCGCCCACCACCGCAGCCGTTGCTCAAACTACGCCCCGAAAAATTACGTCTTCTCGTCTAAAACCGGCCACCGAAACAGTGATGCATTAACAACGCGTTGCCATGGCAACAAATCCTGTTTCGCTAATTACAATTCCCGTAGGAGATTACTCACGACTTCCGTCGCGCGTTTCAATATTTTTGTCAAAAAATTACGAGAGCGGAGAGAGAAAAAGGAAGAAGAGAGAGAGCGCGCGCGTATCTGCGCAGCTGCACGCATCCCATGAATATATGCATCAGGCGTTCGTTTTTCTCGCGGTTGAAGCGTGCGAAAGCGGGTCCACT